CCCACGTTGTCTTCAAAGAGCTTGCTAAACTTGAAGGCGCCGCCGCCCGTGCAGGGCATCGTGCGGATGTGTCGGTGGAAGCAGCGGTGGCGTACAAACTCGACGACCTTCTCGAGCTTGCTCGTCTCAAAGCGCAGAAAGTGGATGCGGCCCGTGGAGAGCTGCAGCGCCATGCCGTCTTCGCGGTTGGCCGACTTGCCGTACGTCGTCGACGCCATCATGTACGTGTGCACGTCGCCGAGGTCGGAGGGGTCGCGCTCGAGGTACACGAGCTTCCCGAGCGTCCCGCCGACGTCCATGCCGAAGCGCCGCCCGAGGTCCTTGTCCCGGTGGTAGATGATCCGCGCCTGGAGCCGCTTGAGCTTGCGCTTCCGCAGTACGACGAGGCCGACGACGACGACCGTCGCCAGCGCAAACCGTGCGAGCATGGAGGCCTTTTTTTCGTTGCATTCGGCATGTGCCGAAACTAAAAACCAGCATCAAGTATTCCTAGGCGACTTGAATAAGACTAGTAGGATCAAATCATACTAGTAGCACCAACGCATCTCCACGCGGTATGCTTGAATGAAATCGACGACGCGTTGAGCTTGGCGTTCTACAAGAACCATGTGCGACGCCCTTGCCTGCTTGTGCGCCTGCTTGTGCGTCTCTTTTGAATGGTGCAAATGTACGTCATCGTGTTTTCATACCCGGTCCAGCAACCTAAAACCCGCGAGCAAGAGCAACGGAAGCGCCTCAATCGAATGTCGTCGTTGTGCTACGAATTCAAGCAAGATAAATCTGTAAGTGGCCCAACTCTGTCCGAGTTGACAATCAAGACACCGTATTTCGATCTGTGGTCATAACATGCTTGCGTTCTCTATATCGATTATGAAAACTCAGATCTGTTACGAGAAACCTTTGACGGGCAAAAAGCCAACACATGTCACGATCCTCCGACACGGGCAGCGGCAACCAAGCCCTCTTTGGCAAGCACGGAACGATCGTCCCGCATCCAGCCCCACCTTAAGCGTAGCCCAAGTGCCTACTATTGGATGCTGCCACCGAGGTCTACATGGGGATGGGTGATTGAGAGCTCGGTGGCAATCTTGGCTTGACTTCGTATCAATTGCTGGCTGCTGCTTGGACAAGGTGTAGGCGCCAGGCAGCTCACCCAGCTTTCAAGTATCCATAGCTTGAGCTTTGCAAATAGCGAATCGGTGTCGTACAGACACCGTTCAGTAATGTTGTCTTGGGCGTGTAAGGGTAGTGTTGGTGCTTGGTCTTGGTCCGGTTGCTGTTCTGGGTGACGTTAGTGTACGGTAGGCGGAAGATCACTTGGCGCCCGATTTCGAAATCGAATTTTCAAACGCATCAAGTTCCTGAGTGCTATCTGCCACCAGTAGCCGCAACATGGACAGCGGTAAAGTATTCGGGACAAGGGCCTAGTTCGGAGGCGTCTTGCTTGATGCTTCTAGGAACTCGATGCTCATCGTGCTTCTCATTCAGTTGGATGGAAATGCAGACAATATGATATTTTTGCAATTAAATAGGTCGCGCACACACCGATGCGGTTTGCTTACGAGAGAAAGTACTCGAGCAGCCATGCGTCGTCCTCGTCCATGAGGTCGTTGTCCGTCACAAGGTCCGTGAGATGCCAGATTGGAAAGAGAATCTCGTCGGCGCCCACATCCCGCGGGCTTTCATCGTCCGCGTCGCCGATATTGACTTTGAGCGGCGGCATGGGTTGCAGCTTGATGCGCTTGGGCGGTGCTTCGACAACGTTCTCGGTACTGTCGGCGAGTGAGACGAGAAGCACACGCTTGCCGCTGGCCGACGACGTGACGGCAAAGTTCGAGGCGGCTGGCAGCGCCTCCATGACTTGGTGATGGAAAGGGTGCTTTTTTGAAATGGACATGATTGAGAGAGATGTCCGTGATCGAGAATGGTGGCCCCAACAGCCTCTGGGACGACCACTCGAGGCCTCGAATTCGAACGGCACGGCGACGTGGCACCCCGCACGTCTCACGTCGGCGATCGTTTCGAAGGCAACCGCGGTGGGACGACCAACGTGGAACTAATCTTTGGAACACACGGTTGGAGATGGCGCTATCTTCCGCGTCCCACCCGGCCTCGCTTCTATGGATACGGAACACAGCAATACGGTATCGTGTCGACCTCTCGTCCAAATCAAGCAGTGCCTGCAATGGTAGCCACCCCATATTTCTGCGAATATTACGAGTCAATCATTCGTGTGCGTTCATAAAAACATAAAAAGGTTCCTCGGAGCGGTAGCAGGTGCGGTGTCCCGCCCTTCTGAAACCCTCGGTGAGAAACCAGCTGATGGCACCGCGATGGCGTTGAGAGGGATGGCGTTGCCGCGGTGGTACGACGGCTATCTACGCCATGGATTTTTGTCGTGATGCGACTCGCTTCCTGCAGCACAGAAACTCGATTTGATTCAATACCACATTGGCTCTGCATTGGTTCCGCATTGATTCCGCATCGGGTCTTTCCGATCCGTGGATGGGACTCATGCCAACGGTGACTACCTAGGTAGTAGTAGTTCGACTACCTTGAAAGTCGTACGGTAGAAGCATGCAAGCTTCGATGTTTAGCTCCAATGAAAGAGGACGACAACCTCCGGCGACGCGATCGTTTTTGTCTTCGATTTTCCACCGACGCGCGAGATATGGGCCCGTGGCCGTTTGGCGTTACCACCCTGGGACGCGGGACGTTGCGAGGGCTAGGTCCTCCTTCAAGATATACCTACGTCATCAGGTCGCTGTGGATTAAATAGAATATCTTGTTTCGGATTACGACAAGAAATACTGCAAGAGCCACAAGTCGTCCAAGAATTGGTCCGTATTGGGCTCGTCGTCGCGCCACAGGGGGTCGTCGGCGAGCAGCATCGTCGGCGTACTACTCGCCAACAGGGGCGTGGGTTTCGGGTCGCTGTACACTACTTGCCGGCGGACGATTGCGTCCGAGTCGTGCATCGGCGGCAAGAACGGCGTCTCCGTGACCTTCTTGAGCGGTGAAATCGAGC